AGCGATTGTAATTCTTCGCAACCTGTCATTTCTCTCAGAGTAGGTGACAGTTTAATCAAATAAATATACGGAGGAAAGACAGAAAAGAAAGAAGGAAAAAAGAAAAAAGCTATATGTAAATATGACAAGAAACCATTACACGAAAGAAGGGGAATAATATGGAAATGATAATAACCCACGCTCAAATACAGACGAGGGTAATTGGTTATTTCGGATATGAAAACTTGGCGGTTGGAGGGGGGTGGAGTCTTCAAATAAAGTTATGCATAATAAGGTATTTTTCTGCTCCCCGCCCCCCCGAAGTCTCCCCTCCCCGCGGGACTTCGTTGGGGGGGTAGAAAGGGGGGAGGTATCTGTCTTTGTCCAGAATGCCAATGATCCCTTCTAACTTTATTATTAGAAAAGTAATTTTACCGAGCTAGGGGTTCCTTCCCCCATTGTAAATATTCTCAAACAATATTCATAGTCTCTGTCATTTTAAACTATTCAAAAATATTTTAAAGAAAAAAAATATCGATAATATGATCAAAGTAAAACCATTGGGGAGCATGATGAAGGCTTTGTTAAGATAAAAAAAAAATCGATATATAGAAATTTTGATACATCTCCGAATATCTCAGTCATCCAAAATTTCAAACATCATTATATAATTTCTCTGTTTTCTGTATTAATTTTGGTCTTCTCCTTGAAGCCCTTTTAATTTATGTATATAACATACTTCTCCGAAGAGACACTGAAAAAAAAATTAACGTTGGATTCAGAATTGTATTTACGAATACATCTCTAATAGTTCATATATGTTATTGAACTGTTTTGTATTTTAGGTACATATAAAAGTGTATGTAGGAATCTATTATATGAGTAGAAAAAAATATCTCATAGAGTGTATATGAATAGAAAAAAAAATAAGAAAAATACAAATGCATATACGCTTTCCTCAAAGTTTCAAAAATGATATTGGTAAATTTTCGAACACTAGCTTTAATAATTATAAGTATTTTGTAAATTAGTAATACCATACACGAGATAACTTTGTTTTGTTTTTTATATTGCAATATCTTTCTTTTTCATTATTTTATAAAAAGATTTATTTCTTTGTAGCTCAATGATTCAAGTTTAGAAATGATATCCATAACAGTAAAAAGTGAATACAAAATTTAAAAATAGATATTTCGCTCGATGTCAGGAAAAATATTAAGAGAATATCACAAAGGCATTTTATTTACTTATTTTTAAACAGTTTCCCCTAATTTCTTTCCTTTGTAATCAAGTGGAAATATGACATTATTATTTATATATAATTATCATCCATTCTTTCATCATCCAAACTAAAGATCATGAAATGTAATGTAGTAAGAAAAAGTATTGCGATTGTGAAAAAAATCGGAATCCAATTTTTCAACAGAAATATATGTTTGAAGTCTCAAGTTCCGCAAAATGGTCTCTTAATATTTTTTTCTTATCCCCAAATTATGATTATTGTCACTGTTAAATAAAAATTGATAGCTGAGGTGCATTCATATCTTCTAAGTTCCAAGATTTAAACAGTGGTCCATTTACTTTGGTTTCACGAGATGTTAAACCACCATATATCGTCGTGCAGTTTTTTCCTAATAAACTCCACTTAATTAATATGGCAACGAGAAAGTTTTCTAAAAGTGAGATATCCGAAGTATAGTTGGATGATAGAAAATAAAATTGCGAATAATTTATTATTTAAAAAAAACACAAAAAAACTTAACTTAGTTTAGCCGTTCAAAAGTCCTCTGAAAATGGTTTTAACAATGACTAACTCTTATCTTAGTTAAAAGTAAATTTTGTCTAGTTTACTATGAAATATTTGTTAATTACTTAAATTAAATATTTCTTTAGTTATCGCTTCCTATTCAACAAAAAACACGACATGCTTAAAAGAACACAAAAGTTGTATTTTCTACTTTTCTGATAAAAATTGTCCCATTGTTTATATGAACTTTTTTATTCATAATGTTGAAAATTCATGGAAATCATATATGTACCTTTACAACTTATTACCTCTTTCAATATATCCTTAGCAACAATTCTATTGTAAAGATAGAAATAGCCTGTAGAATGTGTTAAAGCGAGATTTGAAGGTAGATGGTAGAATATCGATGCCATTACCCCTAATGGAAACGTTAATGTAATATGTATCTATTGAGTGGATTATTCCCGAATAAATAAACTATAAGTGTCACTGAATACATGAGCCAGCGGTACATGAAGGTGAGTCATGGTCTAATATTAATACAAATCAAATCTGGCCAGTATTACAAATTTTGAAAAAATCTGGTGCGGTTCGCGCATCACACAACTTTCACTTACCACGCTCTTCTTAGCAGAAAAAGGAATTTTCTGACAAAAGGGAATTAAAAGTAAAAATTATAGGCGATATATTTATTTATATTTCATTGTGGGTATATTTATTCGTAAAAGCAGCCTAATATATATGTACAAATTTTAATATTTATATCGCTGTAATCTATACAATTAAATATTAAATAATACCAACAATAGCATTTATGAAAACCGTATATGTATATTTACATAATATTGTCGGAGTCTTTATTATATTGAACTCATGTTACACATGGAAGCGTGTTCTTATCTTTCGGGCGAGCTCGGGTCCGCTCGTATTCTTTGCTTCCTCAATTACAACTATTCTCCGTTACGATCTCATATTTCTCCTTTAGTCAATCGTCAAATTCTTTCATATTTTATATTTTACTATCTTTTATATTAGAAATTAATGTGAAATGGTCAATTTTTTCAAATAAAAAAAATTAAAGGTGCTTTAATGGAAGCTAATATTGAAAATTAGCCATTTATGTCCTGTTGGAGAACATCAACTAAAATAAAAACTACATTTTATTTAAGATAGTAATAAGATGAATTTAATCAAAATCGTCAAAGCCATTTTCGAAAAAATCGTAAAAATGTGTTTAGTCCATTATATTAAGTGCCACTGCCGGTTAGCCGATTTTGACGAAAAATTTGCTGTAATATCTCTATCATATAAAAACCTTAAAGATGCAATTTCACTTTCGTACAACTTTTCGTTTTTGAGCTGGACTGTTTACATGCACAGACAATTTTGCGGGACTTGGTTATTTTTGGACTCAAGGAACCTCAAAACGTCTATTTCCGTTGAATACTGAGATTCGAAAATTTTCACGATCGCAATACTTTACTATATATTTCATATATAGGTTAGTGAAAGTAATAAACTAGAATTTTTTTACGAATTAGGAGGAACACGTGTTAAGATATTTCATAACAGTTTTCTTGAAATATATAAATACTTTATATTTTATACGTTTATAGATGATGATAAGTTTCTCAGGAAAACGATATTAACCCATCAGAATTTATTAAATTAAAATATTATTTTGTGTTATATAAACGTGTCATTCTTGCGGTTTGTGGTTTAGGATATTTGAGAAGTGTGGACGGATTTGAGGGCTTCTGGTTTTTCTTGCGATCTGTTGTAACAAGATATATTTTTATCATACTAGTATTACTTATTTTGTTAATCTGTTGACAATGTTAATAATAACATATTGATCTAAAATAATCATAGAAATTTTCAACTCAACCCATACGTTTTCGTGATTCTGCTTATAACTAGATAACTATTTCATTTGCCAATGAGTTATTGATATCGGCTAACGAATGTATTTAACGAAAGCTGAAGTGAGAATTAGTCTGAAAGATTACAGATCGTTTCTAACTATTTCTTTTAAAGATTAAACGGTCCTTGATATTTTGATGGATGTTTTCGTAATCGGTTAATTCTAAAACAGTTATAAATAATCGGTTACTTCTGAGTCACTGGTTCGTTACTGTGATAAAGTAGTTGCTCTGAATATCTATGAAAGTAACAACATTCTCAGAATACCACCTCACTTTTGAATAATTAGTCAGCTTTTTAATTTGTTTGTTTTTCTGGTAAATTTAATGCAACAAAAATTATTTAATTAATGTAGTTTTCATTGAACATTTTCATTCATTGTTGATTTTATTTTGAATGTTTTATTTATCTTCATATGTTTTGTTTGATGTCGGTAAGGAGGATTTTTATAGATTAATGTTCAAAATGTTTTTCAATCTTATTAGCTAAAACTGCTAGTTTCTGCTTGATTAAATGAAATGACTTTTTAACTTATAATTAGTTGTTACACAATGTCTTATTAGCAGGGTGTTACATTATTCTTATTTATATTTTTATCTTTGTATAATACTAAATATTTGCGTAAGGAGTTCTGTGTACTGATGTTCCATTTATTTTTTTTAAAGTAAACAATGCATTAATGATTGTTATGCCTTTTGATAGCCAGCAGATAAAAAGAATATAATTAAAATTCCTAAAACCAGCCAACTCATTGTCAACTTTCTGATTTTTTCCCATTTTGATTATGGCTACTTGGTTTATGAAGAAATGTCTTTTAAAATTTATGAAATTTTCTTTTGTAATATCTATAGCCGATCTTTTAAAACCAAAAATCCTTCTTTAATCTTATCTTGCTTCCTTCAGAAAATACTTTATCATTTGTGCTACCTTGTTTTAAGATTCTTTACCTATCTCAACCCATAAAACCCCGTATTTAATCTTATTTATTTAAAAAATCAATTAGTTTTCTTTTTTTCAACTATCAATTGTTCATATTCCATGTTCAAAAATAATCTTTCTTGATATGTTAATTTTATTTGTTATTATTTTATTCCAATTTCAGGATTATTATTTTCATCGTTTATAAGTACAAATAAGTAAAGATTCCTGTATATAAAGTCAGTGTTATAATTAATTTACTTGTATTTTTCTTTTATTTCCGGAATTTTATATTTATATTATTCTAATGAGACTTGGTGTCTCAGAGTAAAATTTACTTTCAATCATTTTATCATTATTTTTTTTTTTTGGATTGTTGTATTATGTTATATACTATTAAAATCTTATAAATGTTGAACTTCGATTCTTTCAGTTGAAGAGCTGGAATGCTTGGCAACCTGGCGAGAAGGCACCTACCACTATTTGGTTGGTAGACTGCACCATAAGATGGCCACCGTTGACGAAGAGCGGTACCGCTGCTTTTTGTACCATAAGGTTGATCATATCTACCAGGTTGCTCAGAGTGGGGAGGCAACTTGCAGTGGACTTCTCACACCTAATGAGGGATCAAGGAACATGAAACTGTCTCGAAGTGAGTATTTTTTCATCTTGATAGATCGTTAGTTGAAGTTTCAAAGTTTAGTTTAAATCTGTATTGAAAATCCTATGAGCCAATATAATCATTGTTTTAACAATGGTCTAAAACTTAGAACTAAATCACTTGATTATTAGAATTCTCTTTTATTGAAGTTGCACACAGTTACTATTGGAAAAAAATTATAGCTTTATTCTCTGAATTGTTCTATTTCTTTTATGATATCTTATAAGTGCTGTTTTACCATAAACGCACATTAGTTTCTTTAACAAAATTATATTCTCCTGTTCCAGTTGAAGGGCAACATACGAAGTGCAAGTTCCCAGTTTGGGTTACCAATCATTATCACTGGCGAAGTCTCGACTACAGCCACAGCTTCCATTTCTCACATCGCAATGCCAGCTTAAAGATATCGTCGCGTGGAGGTGTAACTGAGACGAAACTTGTCTGTCATAATGTGGAAGTTGAAAATGCTAAGATGGCTCGAATTGTAGTGCATGTTGTTTCTGGATGGTAAGTAAAGTCCAATTAAGTCTTAATCTTTGTCCTCTAATATAGTATTTTTGTACAATAATGTTTTCATTAGTATGCTAATTACTTATTAGCTGATCCAATAGCAATTTCCAGAATGACATTTAAAATAAGTTTGCCGAGTAGAGTCTGTATCGCTTCCACACCATTTCTATTGTTTATATAATAAGCTATATCACTAGATCTATGATTTACCATTTAGAAATAAAATCTACAGAAGAAGTATTTTTTTAATTAAAATCTTATTTATCAGTGTAAAATGCAAAGCTAAGCTAAAACTGTAAACTGAATTTGATAAAATTAGTATTGGATCGTCTAGCTCCATGCCCCTCCCAAAATTAAATCGTGTATCTGCTACTGACTAATAACCATTATAAGGGAGCAGCATTAATGATGATTTTTCTTTGGTCCTATATCATATATAAAATCAGATATTAAATAGGATACAATAGTCAAATGGAACAAAGCTTTCATAGATTTATTCCTCTGATCGCACACCACAACTATAAAAGCTTGCACAATAGTACTGACTTCAAACCGACACAGAACCTTACTGAACACAGCCCAACTAAAATATATTTAACTTACTAAATGACAGGCAGATATACAATTTTCAACGCTTAACATTCAACTGCAGAAAACTAGATAATATTCGAGGAAGACGTTCGACAATAATATTCAAAGAAAACGTTATATTAATACAAGGAACTGGGTCAGGAACAGAACAGAGTCTGATGACAGGATGTAAAAAACATTTCATTGATTTTATTAAAAAAAGAGGCTTTGACATATTAACTGATGAATGTAGAAAGGAAATTAAAATTAAGAATAGTTGATCAGTTTTGCTTTGCTTATTGTGCCTTGTTACTTAATTATTTTTGATTAATTTTGTATTATACTGTATTTTATTTTCACGAATTTAATTAATTTTTTAATTTAACTAATATTTAAGCAAAACAATATTAATATATTATGTTTTCCAAAATGCAGCGTGTACTGAGTTATTTCAACATTAACATGTAATGTGCCTAATTAGTATAGGCATGGAGCATGCAATGTTCACTTAATAAACTCTCCTTCTTTGGGGTTACCATAAAAGGAAAATAAATTTTAAAAAATATGCAGTTATAGAAAAAGCATTTTTTCACACTATTCGAAATTAATATTTATTTGATTCTTAATATTATTAAATGCAGTAGCATTAGTTTGGCTTACTTTCATGACTTGTACTATAATGATTCATTAATTTTCTTTTCTTTTTTTTTTTTTTTAGTGATGGAGGTTACAAGTGTATGACTATTCATAAGAGAGATAATAACGTTATTCAGATGCAACAGTCTGGTAAGTTGCCTAGTATATTGCAAAAAAATTCACCAAGTACATTTTTGATTGAGTTAAACTTTAAAGAATTTTTTTTGTAAATTTTGACCTTTTTTATCAATATAAGAAAAAAAATAGTTAATCAAAATGAAACAAATTCATGCTAATAGTAAATGGGCAATATTATAATTTCACAGAGGGACGCTATTCTAATTATCATTCAAGTACTTAGTTATTTAATTATATGAGATGCTATTTAATAACTTTTTGCAATAATCCAAAAATATATTTGTTGGTTTTTTTTAATTTATCACTTTGTTTTTAGGTATGCACAACAACGCTGAAGAAGCCTGCCTCTCTACCAATTATGAATCTAGTTCATCAGCGAACACTATTACTATGATAAGTAAGTTCTGATGCCATTTTATGATTATTATTTGTTCACACATTTTTAGTTGTATCTATTTAAATTTAAGTTATGTTTTAAGGGGTTTGTTATTGATTGATGAGAGTAGTCTGCAAATATTTGCTTATTTGATCAAATCCCTTACTCATACTTGCTACTTGCTGTATACGTTAATACTCTAAAGCTTGTAATTTTGTTGTTTCCCAAAACCAATTTTTCTTTTTTAATTTCAGCTGGTACGTTGCCAACTGTGAAGTGCCCCCTGGAAGGTAGATATGCCCCGACCAAGATCGAGCCTGAAACAACTGCTGAATGTACACAACAAACTAATCTTCAACTTCTTCTAATGGGCTGTTCTCCTAGCCAAGACATCATGGAATTCGAATCGACCTGTAAAGCCATACCTAAGACATGTAGGTTTTTTCATTATTGATGACACTAACAAAAAATTAAGTATGGAGATTAAATCCAGATTAACAGAATCAAGGTTTTTATTGTATGACATTTTTTTTTCCAGCCTACTCGTGCCATGGAAGTTGGAAAGAAAATAGCACTACTTACGTTGTCGGTTCTCCAGTGAGTAGACATTCTACAGATGCAAGACATTACTGCTTTATATTGAGTCATTCTTCTGGCGGCATGACAGTGGAAAGAGTTGCAGAAACCTGTGCTATTACTTCTAGACCAACAGAATTCACATTTAATGTGACTGAAATAGGTTAGTTTTTTAAAAAATAAAATTTTCATTTAAAACAATTCATTTGGAGACATCAAAATTACATATTAAATAATAAAAAAAAATCATTATTGATAAAGACAAACAATTTTTAATACTTGGAGAGAAATAATAATTTATAAATCTATCGCTGCTCTTCAGTTTCTGAGATTTCGCGATTCTATAGATCTTAAAACCCTTTAGCTTCTTCTTTCCTCTCTTATTTTTCCCAACTTTGATTATGGATGCCTGGTATATGGTGGACTGTCTAGTTAATTTGAGGTCAGATTAAAAAGGTTAATGAATTGTTTCATTGGATTTATCTGTGGAGTCCCTAAGTGCTTCCACGTCTCCAGTTGGTATCCTGAGTTGAAGTGGAAGAAATGGATATTTCTTAGAATTTCCGTATTGTTTTCCTTTTCAAAATCTTTACAACCAAAAAACCTTCTCATCTTCTTGATTTGTTTACTCCCTGTTCCTCTGTCCATTCCTTCAACATGAAATCCCAGCCCACAAACCTGTTTATTTCTTCTCATGGGACAGTTTATTTTGAAAAATCCCTTACAATGTATGCTACCTTGTTTTGGAATTCCTTACCTATTTCCATATGCAAAACCTCATCATTAACTTCATTTAAAAACCAATCGTTTTTTCATCTCCTCAGCTAACAATCAATCTTCCAAATAGTTATAAAAATTATTATTTTTTTCTGTTGGCATTACATACTGTGTAAATCTTTTGCCCCCTTAACAAGCCTGTTCAATCTCTGCCTGTCTCGGACTATTTCTTTCCATTTATCTGCATGCAGCTCAATTGCATCTTTGTTGATTCTATCTTTTCATCTGCATTTTTGTCTTCCATGTGGTCTTTTGCCTTCTGTTAAGGCTTCCAGATGGATTGCTACAAGCTACATGCCCCAACCATCTTAACCTCCGTGCCTTCATATTATGAGATACTGATTGACCAGTTTCCGTAAGCAGTTCTTTATTGGTCTTTCTTCTCCATGTGTTAGTACCCTGATCCCTGATCTCTCCAGTTATCTGGGGAGGATTTTTCTCTCAAATCTTTTAACACTTTTAGGGTGCTGGTTAGTGTCCAGGTCTCACAGCCATATATTAGAACTGGCTTTATCATAGTATTGTACACCCTTAATTTGGGATTTCTTGAGATTTTCAGAATTTCAATACTTTTGAAAGGGAGAAGAAAGCTCTGTTTGCGCTAGCTATTTTCTGGTCTATTTTTACCCATTGGTAATTCATTAAGGTTATTGTTGAGCCAAAGGATTTGAATTTTTTTTACTCTAGGGAATGATTTTCCCTCTACGCAGATCCTGTTGCGATGGAATTAAATATGTTACTAATCTGTTTATACTTTTATTTCACAGTTATTATTTATATTGCTTACCATGCAAATATGTAAACACATGGACATCTATTTGACTATGATTCCATCATCTTATATGCTTATTTAGGCTAGTACTTCATTTTTATTTTAATGTTACACAACTTTGTGACCTAATTATTATTTACCCGCCATTATGTGCCAAATAAATCTGTGCTATAATGTAATTGCCATTGTTCATGTCTGTTATTCTTATGGGACTAAATGTCCCAGAATAAAATTTACATTATTTTCTTAAGTTGATAAAATTAATCATGTTTTCAGGTAAGTGCTCCGAAACCAGTAGCGGAGAAAGGAACACATTTATTCCCGCTATTGCTGCCGTCGCTTTGCTTGTATGCCTCTATCAGGCTCATCGGTGATGATATCTATTATCCGCTTAGTTATTATATAGATTCAGGGTTTTGATTGGTTTTTTTATCTTCACTGTTCTGTTGCTTTTACAAATTATCTACTTGGTTTAGAAGTTTGCTTTATACATATATGAATATATATATGCATACAAACATACATGTATATATATACATATTGTATAAAATTTTAATGAAAAAAAAAGATTCATAACCATTGACCACATTGGTGTTAGTTTCTGTGTAATCGTATTTTCTCCAGTTATAGAAATTATCTTAAATGACCAAGTTATTTAAAAAGAAGAAGAATTGTTTGATTTAAATTTATTTAATTTACATTTATGATAAAATTGAATTCATAGTATATTATAATTGATTATAAACTGAACAGATATTTTAAAAATAAGAATGATAAGTATTTATAGAAAAAAAAAGAAAAAAAATATGTAAAGATGTTTATTTCATTTAAATAAAGTAATATAGATGTTATTTTTTTAAATTTTATTGTTAATAAGACACCTTTATCTCGGCATCTATTCACCAAACGATAGGGGAATTGTCCGAACTTTTAAGGAGTGAATACTTTATTCGCTGTTTCTTTTAGCTATTTCATTGTGTGAATTGTATCTTAACCTTTAAGGAACACTTATATATACATATGTACGTAGTGTGTATATACACATTCAAAAAAATGACATTGATATAAATACAATTGTGATTAAGGTTGGATAATGCTTTCATTGTAAAAAGTGACGGAGTGTAAGTGCTATTACAAAGTTAGTACAATTGAGTAATTTCGGCATCAGGTGTTGTAGTTTAATAACACCTTATTATTAAGAGACATTAATTAATTAATACTATTTTTTTTTTTTTTTTTAAACAAAAACCACATTAGGACCGAAAAATGTATCATATGGACAGAAATTGAACTCTGTTCTTATATTTTAAATTTATATCCGACGTTTTAATGGAACTATTTTTAATGTGTATTATATTTGTCTATACAAATTTATATAATATATCTGATAGCTTTAGTATTTTTGATGGTGAAAGGGATGTTAAAAAATAAATATATAAAAATATTAAAAAAAAAAAATTAAATCAGGTAAAATTTTATGTAACTTTATTCCTACTCAGAAAAATTGATAATTTTCTAAAAATATAGATTATTAAACAAAAAAAAAAAAACACAAGAAGTCCAATAGAAGCATTCCATGAATGCTGCTTTTAGAGCATTGGTCTTACCAGTTATCCTATTCCTATAATGATGATTGTATATAATTAAATAATTAAATTTATCTGACCAATTTAATAAATTAATAAACTTATTCTTTCAAGGAAAAGTAAGTACATATCTGTTTCGTTAACATATTTATTTTTTTTTTTTTTTCTTAACCCGTAAAAGTTCATTTCAATGTTATTTTTGCCTTCAACTAATTTTACTTGATTTTTCTAAATTTACCATTCTAATTTAATTGATTTGTTTATTGTTCTAAAGATATTTATCATTTTTAATACTTTTATATTAATTATTTAAATTTAACAAACAGATATATTTTATTGCTTACTTTTTAAAAATATGTTTTTTTAAGAAATTGCTAGGCTATCAGTATCGGTCGATCACGGTTCGTTAGTAGGAATTCGATAACTGTGTCTTAAATTCTTCTTTTTGATATATCAGGTATGCATTTATCAAGAGAATATTCATAAAATTATTTCCAGCATTACAAACACGTCTGTTACATGTTTATAATTGAAAAATGTTATATATAAAGTAATTTTTCGCTCAAGACTATTAAAACTTATTGTTTTTTTAAATATTGTTTCATATAAATATATATATGTACGTTATTAAAATCTCAGTGTCTTCTTTTTTCTTGGTGTTAGCTAGGAATGAACATTCCATTCATGTTTTTTAATGCTATCAGTCGCTGTATTTAGATATATAACGATCTCATATCTTGAAAATTGTTTATTGTTCAATGCTTACAAAATTTCAACCTTAGATTCATAGAATAATTTACATAACATAATGGGACTCATTTAAAAAAAATAATAATAATAAAATGATACCATATTCATTTACAATGTGTAATTTATATAATACTAGCAGATCACATACGAGTGAATTAACAAAAATGTTATACGTCTCGTTATGTTTTGTAATATCATATACCTTATTGAATCTAGCGATCATATATTATAAGAAAGAGTAATTGTTTATAAGGAACATAAAAAATGTTCCTCAAACCAGCTTTCTAATTTATGATGCCAGTTATTCTATATGTCTTAATATTGGCTTATGTTTCTCATCAACATAAGTTTTATGTTTATATATATTAGTGTGGTATTCATTTGATAATAAATTTTAAATCATTGAATTTCTCTGTTAAATGTTTAATAAAAGTAATTATGGATTTTTAGAATTATGTGTATTGTACTCATTGTTATTACTGCATTGAATTTTCCTACAGTCAACAAAAAAAAAAAAAAAAAACCTAACTTAGCCAGTTTGCAAGGCTTTTATGAATAAGGTGCTATATTTCTATCAAACTTATTAATATTAATTATTATTCATTAAGCGGCTGAAACTGTTAGCATTTTAATCCTATCTTTAGATGGCATTGTCAAATGGATGCTACATTTTTTTTTTTTTTTTTATTTTACTACGGTTAGATGTAATGTTACAAATAAATAAATAATTTTTAGAATTTTGATTCTAACCTAGCAAGCCAAAAAAAGTGTCCAAGGCTTCCGTCCGCTTGGTTTTACTTTCTGTAAATGATTCGTAATCAAGAACACTTTTTTTTCTATTTGTCACTTTTTCAAATTATCAAGTAATATCTCTGACTTCGGTTACAAACATATTTCTAAGTGTAAAGTCTTGTACTGAAAGAATCAAGCAAAAGCTATGAGAAACAATAATACATTGTAACATCAAAACTAATTTCTAACTAATCTATTATCTTAAATTCTGCAAACTGGTCTCAAAGTCTCCAGTTTCATTTATTTTAATTTTATAATCTTAAATGCATTATTCTTGTCATATTTTCCTTAAGTAAAATCTTTTAAATGAGCTAGAAGAGTAAAATAAAATTCATTACTTCTAAAATAAAGAGTTTCTACTATCCACATCTTTTTTAAGTTTTACTCTTCTTTAGAATGTGAAAAATATTATATTTTACTCCTGATGTACATAATTATGTGTTTTAAATAATAATAATAAAGAACTCAGTTTGTGACCTTTAAATTATCAATTCCACTTTTGTCTGTCTTACTAACTTCTGTTATTTTAATTTTTTTTATTTTTCAAGTAAACTTTTAGCAAAAATTTATGCATGTGTGAACTTAAATCTTAAATGAAGCAAATATCCTTGTGCTTAATAGTAAATAACATAAGATCCTCGTGACTCATTATTTACAATATCTTAAATTTAGGTTAGAATCATTAATTCTATTCATCTGTAAATTTTTTCAAATTATTCGTTAAATATTTGATGTTCGATAAGTGTTAAATGTTTTTTTTTTTTAATATATTGGTGTATTCACTTCACTTATACCATATTATTATGAATTTATTATTATAAATCTAATTGTACTCTAGTTTTCTTCTTTTTTTTTTTTTATAATATAAAATTATTTCTCTATTTCCTCCTGAATTTCTTAAAAGTTTAATATTTTGAGAATGAGGTTTTTTGGTCTTTAACCAATGAGAGTTTATTTTTGTAAATAGCGTAAGAAAGGGAGAAAGTACTGTTTTAAATAATAATAATCTTTATCGTATTGGTTGTAATAAAATAACTCATCACAGGGTGCCACTGATTCTTTAATTTTAATTATTTTAATTTTATTATTTTTATTGATATAGCACTTAATATTGAAGCTTTCTGTGTTATTATGTAAGGCTGTAAATAAATTGCAGCTAAGTTTGCTTAATTTTGTGTTTATATAAATGTAATTAAGGTGATAAAATGCTTTAATTTGTAAATTATCGAAATGTAAAAATTGTAATAAGTTTTTGGATTTAATTTAATTTTTTTTTTCTTTCTTTTTCATTTATTGTAAGCTTGTACAGCCATTTCAATGAAAAGAAAATATCACAATTTTTAGCTAGTAAAATACAATTTGTTCTGTTTATTTCATTAAAATAATTGTTGGTATCATAGTGTATTTTATTCATCCTTGCTCTTACTAATACTAAGGTAGGTAAATATGAAATCATGTAAGTTGCTTACTTACTATCTTACATTTATGATATCTTAATAGGTTTATTTATTTATTTTAACAGTTAATTTGAAGTCATTTGATCAAATCATATTAAAATATGTGAATATACTGATTTAATCTCAGTTTTAATTTTTAATTTCTTTTCAATAGGAAATGAAACTTTTCTTACCTGGTACACATTTTTTTTTACTTTTTTCTTGATTGTAAACAATTGCTATGAAAGTTCCTATTTGAGGGTTTATCGAGGTGATGAATACATACAAATCTTAACTCTGTTTCTCTTTAAAAAAAGATTTGAATCCACTTTGCTCTTTCAGTAACTATAAATTGTTAAAAATATACAAATTTCAAATAGATTTCAATGTTCTGTTTTGGTTTTGTAGGAAATTTAGTAATTTTGCAAATAATCATCAGTGAATACCAACAAAAAATTGTAAGCATTTTGAGTCGTTTGTAAATCAAGTTCCTTTTCCTTTATAAACTTTTTCTGCTGAAATTTCGGGAGGATGTGACTATGGTTCGCCACTTCTCCATAAAATACCTTTTCATTTGATACCTCAGTCGTCAAAATCCACCGATATCAAAATTTTTGTGATTTTCAAAAAAAATTGAAAGCTATATATATATGTGTGGTGAAAATTTCGAGAAAAAAAGTTTTATTTTTCGATTTCTATGTAAATTCATATTTTTGAGGGTTTATAGAGGTGCTGAATATAAATCTCAACTCTGTTTTTCCTTAAAAAAATAATTTAAATTTATGGTTAATTAGTTTAGAAAAGGTAACACATTACAGTGTCTATTGGTGGTATTTAATGTCACTATAGTTGTCCTCCATATAATAAGTTGAGCTATCAAGCATCCCTCTAGCAGCATCTGTTGTAAATATAAGAGCATTTTTATTATCAAAAACATTTTGAAATTGGCCTCTTTCCCCAACTTTTAAAAATCAGTATTAAAATACTACTAAGAAAAATATATTTAAAAAATAGATTTGTAATGTATTTAGCTTGTATAAACAAAATACAAAAAATCATAAAAATCTAGAAAAAATCAGAGAGATAGAGGTCCAAGGACTCAGATGATTTCAAATGGAAAAATAAAATATGGATGAGCTGTGTTGTCACGAAGATTGGTCATTTTAACACACATGTTCTAAAATTATAAATAATGCTGTAAGAAAATATATGGAAATGATTATGATATACATTAAAATTCCTGCTTAAATAACTTTAATGTGTATTTACATTTATGTAATAATATTTGTTTAAATATTAAAATATAAAAAGCTTTACTATCTAACAAGTGAGCAATAACATACTAAGAAAATATATACAAACGACATATAAAAATAATTTGTTAGATCTATTAACACAACTTTATACACAATAAGCTTCTCTATATCAACAAAAACAGACTATTCTAAAGAAAAAAATAATTCAATATTTTATTATTTAAATCGCTATTAAAACATTTCCAGGTAAACAAATCTATAACAAGTTATATCAAAAGATTTTTAATAAATCTATTGGAATCTTTAAAGAATATGGGCAAGTTTCTAAACTCAGTTCTGAACTTGCTATGAAATTAGTTTTAATCTCATTTGAAATTAGTAATAAAACAGGGATTGACTCCGTTCACTATAGAACTATTTATAGTGTTGCCTACAAATAACTTTAATCAATAACTATTAATTTTAAACATAATTATTGTATTAAACATATTTTTATATTTTTTTTTTTGTATTCAAAACTGACGAAATTTTAAGTGAAACACATAATTATCTGTCTCCTATATAAAAAATTAACCTATCTATGTGAAAAATGTTTTATTTTTAATATTTGCTAATATTTCACAAAATTTGTTAAGATTATTTTCATGAAAGGAAAATGATAGAATGCAAGTTTTGAGACTTAGAGAATAGTACAACTTTTATTAATTAAAAAAAAATTAAATTAGTGTTAATGTATATAATTATCACTACCCTGCTCTATAAATTATTATTTCTTTAATATCAAAAAGGATAATGTACTACAAACATATAAGTCTATTATTATAGTATTATAATTGGTGTATAATATACATATTTAAATTAGTTTAATATAATAATGAGCACCACACCATAAGGCACCATGGAATATGCTGCAAAACAATGCAGGTCAAACAGCAAATTAAATTTTAAATTATAAAAACATTAAAATTTATTATAATTATTTTTTATTAATTTAAATATGCCATCAATCAGCTACATTGGACAATTGATAATTTAACATATACACTATAACGTAACATAATAAGAGCTAAAATAAAGCCACTTGACCAACTTTTTATTTAATGATAAGTTGGTCTGTTTATGCTTTTATTTTTCAAGATTTCTTTTTGCTATATGTTTTGGAATATTGATGGCAATTTATGTAATTTACAATATTTTATATAAAATTTAAATCTATCATGCACTGTGGCATGTCAACTATTCGCTAGTTGGGCGCATATATTGAATCTCTAGGCTGCTGAATAGCGATCCTATTGGTCGAGGTAGTAGCTATCTCCTCCGGTCTAATTACTATATTTTCAGGAGTGTAAGGAGTTTCGGCCAAAGGCGGTCGTATTTTAAAACGCCTCTCGATGGCTGATAACTAAAATAAGAAAAATATTGTATTACATTTATGAATAACGACAAGGGCAATAAGTTTACTATTCATACTATTGACTCAAGTCAGATTAATATCGAGCGTTAAAAATTATTATAAAATAGAGAATTTTTATTATTTAAGTTGGAACTGCTTTGTGGCAGGGAGATGGACTCTCACCGATAATGTTCAAATTAAAGTTTGAGAAGCTGATAAGAACATCAAATGAAATGGAGGGATGCACATCAGTCTGAATCATAAGACATATTGGATGCTGGCGATATAGCTGTCCTTCGAAGTAATTAAGATGACATTGAGAGACTCGCTAATACTCCGATAAGATAATCAGAGCAAAGTGGCCTACAACTAAATGAAGATAAAACCATAATGAGCCGAAAATTCCACACTCCGAATACAGGATCTGCATAGAAGGGAAATCATTCTTAATAATGAACAAATTAAAATATCTTGGCTCCATAATAACTTCAATGAATGACCAAAGGTCTGAAATACATCAGTGCTTAGCAAGTCTAAAAAATCTATCATAATAAACCCAGTTCTTATAAATTGCTGTGAAATATGGACAGTCACCAGCACTCTAGAAAGAAATATTGATTTGTGAGAAAAATCCTCCATATTATAACCGGAGCGGTCTGGGATCAGATTACTAATGCATGGAGGAGAAGGACCAATAAAGTACTGATTACAGAAACTGGTCAATTAATATCTCGTTATATGAAGGCAAAAAGATTAAGATATGTGGGGCATATAGCTCAGAGCAATCCATCAGGAAGCCTCTAGACAACAATAAATGCAAAAGACCAAGTGGAAGGCCAAAAACGAGATTTAATGATCAAATCAATGAATGGGTTATAAAAAAAAATTATTTTTAATTAAAATTTCAATATTTTATTAATCATTAATAATTAATAATAATAATAATCTCACAACCACTTCAAATAAAAACTACCTTCATCAGATCTTAATACCGTCTAGTGTTATGGTAGTGACCAACTTGGTATACCTTGCCATAAGAGTTCAGTAACAGTTTTTGTTTGTTTTTGATAGGCTGAAAGCCAATAGATGATATAGAAGTTGATCTACATTCAAAGATTTATTTGAATCAACTGAAGATAAATAAACAAGAAAATCTAAAAGGAATAAAAAATTATTTAGCTACATCCGAAAAATAGCCCGAGTTTAACTTAAGCTCTTAAAAAGAGGTTGAAAGGCGTGGAACCTATTTTATTTATTTATCTGTTAAATAATCGGCAACGACACTTTTCGACCTAGTACTATTAATAATTAAAAAATATACTCCTTACCCTATCTCCTGGTTGAGGACTACTTATAGTAAAAAGCTCAACTGGTACCCTCGGCCACGTTGGAGGGAACGTTGGCCCGCCTGGAGCGTACGGATGATGTCCAAAGTGGTCAAGGGTATTGTTACCACTTATCCCGTTGGTAACTTCCATAATACCGATTTGTGTGGTTCGTACGTGGTAAGGGAAATTCTTGTTGGCTTTGTTAGGAACCGTTAGCACCTAGAATGATATATCTCTATTAAATAGGATAAAAATATAGAATAAGGACTATATATATAACAGACTGTTTATAAAGAATTATTTTAAAGATAAATAACTTAATTTAAAAAAAAAAATTACAGAATCTTGAAATTGGATGGAGAGGCCGAAACAATGAAAAATAAAGAAATAAAATGAAAAATTATGTTATTTGGCCTAATATCTTTTAAATAAAAACATAAAAAAATATGACAAGAAAACTTATTATTTATTTTGTAAATTACTTCTCATATTCATAAATTACATGAATTAATATTCATTTTTACTTTACATTTTGACATATGGAGTAATTTTAATAATTGATTTTTTATTTTAATACAATATATCTTTCATCAGATCACAAACCTAAATCTTTTTTTTTTTTAATAGAGAAAGCTGATTCAAAACGAATCATTACAGAAATGATTTAGACTATTTCATTTTTTGTGTATCAAATATTTTCTTGAATTTAAATTTGACTGTACTTAATTGCCTGATGATAAGAACAAAAATCATAAAAAAAACTATTAAAACGTATTATACAATTATAATTGTTTTAAAAAGTGTAATTTATTAAGTACTTTTTCTATTTTTTTAAATATAATTTAAAAATGTCACATGCATACATTACCAAGAACAGTATGTGTCCTGCTAAAGCGATGAAATGCTGAACAGCACATACGACACTTTCTCTAACCCATTTGTCTATAAGTGTATTTGCTGCCAAAATGAATGCGGGACCGGCTACAAACCTATGAATTGTCCAAAGCCCAATTTAATAAATAAAAATTACGTTAAAAACCAAAACAAAAACGTAGTAACTAATTATAATGATAAAATAAGCTTTATCAAGCAAATATTTCTTAAACGTGAGGGGGACTCGTCGAGTCCCGAGAAATTTAAATAATATATTCTAGATGGATATTTCTCAATCTTATAAATAAATGATGTTACTATAAGTGTTTTTAATGTGATTTCAAATGAAAGTAATGAAACTGTGTATTAATAAATTTAATATTTAATAATAATTAAGTATCTTAAAAAATTGTTAGTTTATAATGGATTAAGAAAAGGGTTCTATTTATTAACTATTAATTAATCAATTATTTTTATAAAGTTTAAAAGTAATTATACTTCCTGAAATTTAAAAAAAAAAAAAATTATTAATTTTACATTTATTTCAAAGTATGAGTGATTTTAGAAATAACTGATTTTACAAAACACATATCTCATAAATGATCCTCTTTCTCGCAATACAATGTAGAATCTATTATTTTTCTAATATATTTATATACTTTTTAATTATCTGTGAATGTTTATAAATTTCTAAAAGACTTACAATATTAAATAAATAATTAAAAATTTATAATTAGATTATCATACCACATCGTTCCTATTAGATTAAAAGGATAATAAAATGCTGATTTTTCTGGATAATGTTTTAACGTAAATACTGTTGCATATATAAACAAAGTCCAGGCCAGTATGCGTAAAATCACTAAACCATATCCAGCTGGCGATTCATATAAGTATAAAACTTCACCTGGATCGAAAAACTAAAACAGTAAAATATTTCATGAAATTAGTCTCTTTTGTTTTTTCTTTAAGAACTACAATGTTTACTATATCACCATGCATATTAATTAATTCTGCTTATTATTTATTAATACTTGTAGGATTTACTTACCAATTTTTCATAAATAAAAAGAGTCACATACATGATTACGTATAAGCACATAAAAATTGTGAGCTTTACAGAGGAGCTTAGTCTGATTCTTCCTCTTGTTATTGTGTACCCTTTCGCCATCAAGAGAAGTAATAATAAAAAAATGACTTCGCTCGCTGACTCACACATCCTTCCTGAATAAAATTAATGAATTTTAATACTGGAAATCAGGTAACGAAAAGTACGACATAATTTATAATGAAAAAATTATTTAATTATTACATATTTAACAATATCTGTTCAATTATTACAAATATTAGAAATGAGAATTTTACCTATAAGAGTATTGAATATAATTGGATATATTACCTATTGTAGTCAATCTCGGAACTCCGACACCATCTACTGCATAACGTACATAAGCGATACTTTGAATAAAAATTCCGAGTTCTTGGAGATAGACAGACACAGCGAAGAGTTTGTAAGTGGAATGGTACAGTTGCCTTGTTTTTAATTCCACTAAAATGTATGAGCTAGTTATTGTTTTGTATTTTTAAATCTAATTCTTATGAAAATGTTTATAATATGAAGAACTTACTTGCACACATAATGACTGCCAATACTAGAAGCATGTAGACAATGCAGTATGACATTAATACTGGTAAAATATCTGAAATTTAAAATATCAATCATCAATGAAAAAATCCTTTTTAAGTATTTTATAATATATAATGAAATATATAACATGGAGAAGTATAGCGATCACGAAATTTTTTGAATCAGAGTTTTATGTATTTAGGAAATAGATTATCACTGCTTGAAAGATAAATTAAACTTATAGCAAATAAAAAATAACTTACAAAATTCATCAGCAGAGAAATGTTCATGCCAATAATCTCCAGGAGGTCCGTTTGTCATTAAAAATCTGTATTTTATGCTCAATCCCTGAAATTGTCATGGTTTTATTAGTGCCACTAGTTATAAATAAACATATTACCAAAATGAATCCATAAATATTAATTTTTTATTGATCTTAGATGATTTTCATTCTTCTGTTCTAATAGCCTGTCGCTATCACAACATTCTTTTATCTGACCAAATGTTAAGAAGATAAAACTTATTGTTAAATATTTAAATTATGAGGAATTTTAGACTTATTATTCACTTATAATTAGTAATTATAAAGCTGTGATTAAGTTTTAAATAGAATTTGATCAAGCACACATAAAATAATCTAATTACGATTTGATTGTAAAAGAGCATTTATTTCTTTTAACTCAACTTTACATAAAGAATAATCTTCACAATTTATACTTCATAATTTTTTCTTGTATTTGTTATAATTAAACTGTACAATCATTCTTTTTCAATAATTTTTATAAAAAATGACTAAAATTTAATATCGAGTTATAAATAAAACTTTGAAAAATCTATTGATTATATTACTTTTGTAGAATTGCAGTTGCTGATGGCAAGAAACCACCATCTCTCTCTTGAGCTGTGGAATCGCCTTCCTTGATGGCACTGTATGACAGCTTTCTTGCTGGAATTTAAAAATACTTCGGTGCATCCTGAACCAAAGTCGGAATCCGTCAGTGTTATTATTTGGTTCAACCGCCTGTTCAAGACTGCTTCCCGCTGCTCGCATGTCTGTAAAGCATTTATAGTTTCTTTTTTTGTATTAATGCTAATTTTGGTAATGTTTTTTATAAATCAATATATTACCTTATTTGATTTATAAACTGCAGGCCACTGGTGATCGCTGTCATAGTACAATAATAAATTCTGTGGAGAGTATGCCTGTAAATGGATAAGAATAACTTTATCATTTTTTAATTATTATTATTGGTAAAAGCGTCCTTATAGATAACGAATAAGAAATATTTTACCTTATCGTATGTTATACTGTACTCGAATTGGCCATCTTCTGAAAGGAAGCAAAATCTTGCTACAAACACCCATTTCTGTTTGAAATATGAAGAACAGGTCAATGTTAAAAAAATAATAAAATTATAAAGATATGAGGTACAAAAATGGAACTCTTTGATTGAATCCTAATATCCCTCTCATTTATTATGTACTTCAGTACACTCCGTAACAAATTAAAATTCATAATTATATATATGCAATTGATTTATTTAATAAATAAACTACAAGAGTTGCATTTCATTAATAATAGCACTTTATCAATAATAAAATTAGTGAAATTCAGAGAAAAAACATAATTATAATTTAAAATTTGGAACATAACTGTTTAATTTTAATGTCTAGAAAAATCAATTGTAATTTGACTTAATTATTAATACTTAAATTCATAATTTAGATAATTAAAAAGTAAACCTCGTTAGTTTTAATCTCCCCTTCTTCATATTTTGAAAATGTGACAGTCATCATGTTGAAGATCGCAAGAACCATCGGAAATAATGGCATTTTGATTTAAAGTAAACTTGCATGTTTGATTCCGATTGTCTTAAACAAGAATTGTATATTGACTGAGCTGTCGTTATGGGAACTTGAAGCCAAACACAACAGCTCCCGAGTTTTGATTTCCTAGAAAATCCCCATGGCAGCACAGAATCCAATTATAAAACAGATCAGATTCAATCATCTAAGATATAATCAATACAGTTTCGTGCAGATAATTTTATTTGATGCTAATCTTATTCCGCATCAACCCGTTACAATAATAATTTCCTCTCAAAAATACTTAGGTGCGTTACTATTTAAAATAAAAAATAGAAAAAAACTTTTAAAAATATAATGATTTCCGTAGTTACGTAAGTTTCCCAGGTATTTTTTCACAGGCGCAAATATTACGTTGAAAACTGCATAAAATCAATGCAAGAAAAATCGTTTCTTTTAATTATTTATAAAATTCACTTCTTTCCATATATGTATTTTTTTCTCCTTTTTTAATGTTTACGATAAACTTAAATCTTTTCATTTGATACTTCAAACTAATAGGATGTTAATGATAATTGGTCTGTTTCTTTTAATGACGAAAATTCTTCTAAATTTTATTTAAAATAGTTTTTCATACAACATAATAATTCAGATAAAAATATATTCCACAAAAACGTACTAGTTATTCAAATAATTAAAACTCCTTTTATTTTAATTCATATTTAATAAAATACCAGAAAAGTTTTTAATAAAATGTTCGTATAAATTAACAATTATGGTAAAAATCATTGTCAGACTTTCGGGCTGAAGCCACCCACAAAATGGTAAAATATAACCATGTTTTATGGAAAAATATATTAAAAAATTATCTCTTAAAGTATTATTGTTCGTGTAATTACATTTAAAAGGACTTAAGGAATCACTTAAACACCATTCATATAGATAGTTAGTTTCTTTCTTTTTTTCCAAAGTAATTACTGTCATTTTTATTTTTAAAAAAACAGCTTTCGGGCTGAAGCCCCCCCCCCCAACATCAAATCCTGGATCGGCTAGTGCTGAAAGGTAGCAAGCAGTAAGTAGCTAATACCTCTTGAATTGTTATCCGACCTATTATTTATTACATGCTCCCATTCTATTCAATTCCGCGATGAAAATTTTTATTTTGTATTAGGGAAATAAAATTTAACAGGAGCTCAACCGTTTTGGATAGCTTTTCTATTCTAACTTGGATAGTGCTGCTCTCTTTTAATGGCCATTTTAACTATATTCTTTAGTTTCTTGGGAAGTGCTTTTCTCTATAAGCAATTACTAGATTTATCTTTCACACCTTTCTCACTCAACAATCCATTTCACATATTTTCTATTATCCTGTCATATTCCTAGTGCTACATATTTTATTCATTTCTCTATATGATGCTTTTGAAAATTTCTTGAAGTCGTCTGAATGATGAAGTCATCTATTATCTCTAACTTATTTAGCCTTGTTACAGTGATTTAATAAAGGCAATAAAATATCTGATTTACTAATTAGCAAAAGTTCTTGATTTGAACAGTGATGTTTCCTTAGCCATTTTGAAAATTATTTAATAAAATCTATTTGTATATATTATTTTCAAATGAATATATCTGAAGTGGTGGTCTCTTTAATCTTTCTTTTTCTTTTATTATAATATAAATATATCTTTTCTGTATAGGTTGTAGCACAAGATAAGCAAGTTCGTGATTTAGTTGAAGGTTAATATGAAACTGTTGACTCAAGTTCCTGCTAGAACAGATTGCTATTTCTAAAAGAATAGAGGAACTATTGTGCTAATAACAGGTAAAAATAAATATGTTATTATATCTATTTTAGAATTATTTATTTACTATTTTGGAGTTGAGATTAGAAATAGCTTGAAATGAAGAAGGACACAAAAAATATTGAACTAAAAATTTTTTTTATTATGCATTATACTCATCGTTCTTAATATAGCCAATTTACAAATACACGTTATTGCTTGTAAAATTTTCTTTTATACATGAAATAATAAGCTGAGTATTTATTTATCTGTTACAATATTGTTGATCAAATGTTCTAAAATTTGCTGATGGAATATAACGCACTTTTAACAAAATTCTGGTTTTATTTGAAAATATTTCTATTGTAGTGTATCCAAACATATAAATATTTATTTTATGAAATTTTGTATCACAGAGTCCTCTATATTTTGATGATATCAAAATAATCCTCTAAAATATCTGTTTTTCCCTTTATTGATAGAATAAGAATTTAAAGAAAAAATGAGATTATATTAATTTTATAAGTGTGTCATATTTAGGTTTGTTAATTTTGATTTTCATTGTCAATTTCTTTAAATAAATTTTATTTTCAGGAAAAACAGACCAACTTATGTGGTTTCTGGTTTGCCAAATATTGAAGACCAAGCTGTTATCGATGCTAGAAATTCTTGCTCAAGAACGTAATTAATTATTTCCTTCACTTTTTACAGCATATCCATTATTACTCATCATAGTATAAGATTTTTAAACAATATATTTAAAGTTTACTTTTTAATCTTCTTGGCTACTATTTTATCCTTCTGTGAATAAGCCTTTCAATTCTCTCTTTATGAAATCTTGAATTTTGAAGAAAAAACAAATTATTTTCTGGAAGACATTTTGTATCACATGACCAATTTTAAACTTTGAGATTAAAAAAAAAAAAATAATCTAAGACCTTTAATAGAGGTGATTGGTCTGGTATGGAGTAAATTTTTATTTTTATTTTTAAGTATTGTGGAGTCAATATATACAGTCTCTAAATAGATAGTCATTTATCTTAGGTAAGATACTAAGATCATTATTATGCAGAAAAAAATTTATAATACTAATTAATAATTTATTAATTTAAAGTTAAATGATTCGTGAGACATTTTTAAATGTCTCTCTACACAGGCATTTCATGAGATGTATTCAGAAAGTTTTTTTTTCTTTGTTGGCATTAAAGACTATGTAGATCTTTTGCTTTCTTAACAAGCCTGCTCCATCTTTGCCGGTCTTGGGCTATTCCTTTCCATTTATCTGCACAAAGCTCTATTGCATTTATGTTGATTCTATCTATCCATCTGTTTTTTGGCCTTCCATGTGGTCTTTTGCCTTCTATTGAGGCATTCATTGTTATGTAGAGGCTTCCAGATGGATTGCTATGAGCTACAATCCCTGCCCATCTTAACCTCCGTGCCTTCATATCATGGGATATTGATTGACCAGTTTCTGTAAGCAGTTCTTTATTGGTCTTTCTTTTCCATATGTTAGTACTCTGATCCCAGATCACTTCGGTTATCGTTTTTCTAGGGTGCTGGTTAATGTCCAGGTCTCACAGCCATATATTAAAACTGGCTTTATCATATTATTATACACTCTTAATTTGAGATATTTTGGGATTTCAATATAAAGGAAGAAAAAACTGTTTGCTCTAGTTATAGACTGGTCTATTTCTGCCCATTGGTCATTCATTGAGGTTATTAATCAAATAGTTATCCTCATTTATTTTATTTGTTTATTTATTCCTGGCACTACGGTCCTACAAGAACCTGGTCCTCTCTTATAATTCTCCTCCACTCTACTTCTCCTCTATCTCGGACGAGCATTCTCCATCTGTGGATTCCCATGCTTTTCAGAATGTCCTCCACCTCACCCAGCCATCTCAGACGTGGTCTTCCTCTGCCATGTCTTCCACCATCTCTATCCTCCAGCAGGTGTTTGGGAAGTTATCCTCAGCACTCTAATTAAATCCAGTTCTGGATCTCATATACAATATTTAGAAAAAAAACTTCTTATTCATCAGGATTAGTGCCTATAACTTTGGAGTCTCCTGTCAAAGAAAGCCGCTGTGCTGCCAAAATGGTCTAATTTTAATTCAATTTTAGTTAAGAAATATTTTTCTATTATGAAAATTTTTAATAAAAATATTGTACAATAACTCTCTAAGATTCTTTGAGAAGGATCTAGTAATTTATTCCTATTAATGTAATAGTTGACAAAATGATTATTTTATTAGTATGTTCCAAAAATATTTCGTACCTTTTCTTCTGTTGAAGGTGAAAGATAATTGAAAAGAGGATTATATATAATTCAACAAGCTATCTCCTAGATAGATATCAACGTAGTACTGTATTTAGCCAATACGGTTAGGCCTCTGATAGCCATCCATAAATTTAATTCCTGCTGTTATTTAAAAATAATCATATATTTTTTAATGATGCTAACATAATATTTTTATGATTTTTTCATTATTTACTTTTAATTTTTTTTTTATTTCAGGCTGAAGGTATGGGAATGATAGTAGAACTAATAATGCCATACAATGGTGCCATGCACAGCAGTGAGTCTTCTCGAAAAAAATAGGAACTGTCATTGAGGCACAGCACCTTCTTTGACCACTTGATCATCATCTGTGCTACACTTAGAGGAACAAACGAAAAAGGTAAAAGAATCATTTGTGAGTAATTCCCTAAAATAGTTCCTTTCATTCTTTTTCCATGTCCTCTCTTTAAGAGACAATAAACATTAACTTACCAAGTTGAGAATCGAATCTATCACATTTAGAACTAGCCACTCTGGGACAACACTCTAACGTGTTCAATCATGACCCCATCCATTCCAGTGTAGCTGGCCATATATTTTTGTTCATCCTGATGAATCAAAACTATGATTGGTATTATTCGGAATAGAGAAATTTGGTCACTTTGTCATCCATCAATGCTTTAGACACATTTTATTTCTACTTTTATTAGCATAACGAAACATTGCAAAGTTATAAATTAAAATAATAAGACAAGAGGTTATGGTTTAAATATATATGATTGCATTGTGCCTTATGTTAACTTTTTAGAAAATTATTGTTTCTTTTTGTGATAGAGAACTTAAAAAAATATTATTTAGCCCTTTCATTACCTCCAGAAATGACGGATTCACCACTTTGTGAATTACTCAATGCTTACATCAGTTATAAACAGGAAATTGCTTTGTTGTACCATTTAAAAATAAATAAACGGGGCCATCAATTTTTACTTTTCTAGCTGTACCATATAGGATTGTGATCAGGTCAAATTTCCGATATATGGTTTTCGACGGATCTATACGTTTCAGAGCTCCC